CTTTTATTGGTATTCATAGTTCCATTTCAATTGTATGGTTCTTGGAAGACAATTTTCTAAGTATTCATATTTGTATATGAAAATCACTGGATTGGATGTTGTGCTGTTGATTGCTTCTGAATTGGGTTGGATGACCGAACGAGATGAGTTTCGTGGGTTAATGTTGTATTGAAGTGACAATAAGTTGACTGGGAATGTATCTATATATTTCATGAGGCTTGTCAAATTTAGCACTCCAATTTTGAGTAACAAAGGTTAGAAGTTTAAATTTTAGCTTCCACTCTTTGCTTTGGATTATGGATTTCATTATACTTCAGCATTGCAGTCATGTGGAGTACTTTCTAGTTTGCTGATGTTTTTTTCTTCTTTATGTATGTAAGAGCACCATCGTGTCGTTGTTTGTTCAGTTGAGTGTTCTTGTCGGAAATGCTGTATATTTGCGTTTATCAAATTAACTTCCATGATAACTTTGATCTCTTTATATCGTTTTTGGTTATTGATGTGCAGAAGACAGTGGATGAAGATGCCTCAACCCCCTCCACGGTGACTGCATCTCAACTTAGAGTTCACGTAGGGTTCTTGAAAGGGGTGAACGTTGTATAAACAAATTTTATGTTATTGGTTGCGATGATTTTTGTATAAACAGGTCCAAATTGACTTACACTTTTGCTTGCCTAGCTCGTTCATGTCATTGTTGTTGGTTGCAATGAATGTTATATAAACCCGGTATGCAGGCGCACATGGATGATCCTAGATTTTTGTACATTATGTTTGAATGTGTTGTATCAGAAGTACTTGTATGAAGTTGCCATTTGTTGCTCTTTATGCATGCGCGTGTGACTATAACTTATGTATTCCGGAATTTCCACTAACTCGAGAGTATACAGTGTAGTTCGATTCGTCATCTAAAAGACAGTAATTTTAGAATCTCGTGAATACATTACGATTATCGTTTTTCAACTGAGTAAAAAATAAGTACCAACATAGCAAAATTCATTTAAGCTGTCTTTCATGTAATGTTATAACACATGCAGCAACATGGAAAAAACTATGCACATACCTGTTACGTTGAAAAGTTTTTTCTCAATTTTTGGAAGGAGCACCACATTTAAATAGTGAAAATGGAATTGAAAACCGTGCTTAGCTCATTTTTAGTCATTGCCAAAATAATTCAATAGTCATAACTCACATTGGTACTAATCTTCCAACCCCAGCCACCATTTCAGGACATATACTAGGGATTTAAGTATGATTAGACCATCAACCATCACATAGTTTTCTATCAAATTTTAATTGTATGGGGGTTGGTGGTTGGGGCACTAAATGAACTTCAGTGCATCTCTCCAAAAAATCTACTATATATAGCATGGTAAGTCCACATTATCATTGACACCTTCAATACTCACATTTGAAAATTCATGTTGCAGTCTCTATGTTTACTCCTCAATAGGTTCAATACATATTTTCATATCAGAACAATGGCGTCGTCGACAGGGAGCAATGAATCATTTAACCATGAGGAGCCGCTACCAACACCCAGTTCGTCCCCACTATGTCCCATCGTTATTGCTTCGGACGATGACGAAGTGAGTTATGAACGTGGTACGAGAGCCACATCCGTTGTTCCTTTTCTGAACCTCGACGATGTTGCAAGTGAAGCTTCCCAGACTCCAAAGACCGTGCTCGATTGGGGCGTCCCATTGATGGTTCCGGTGGAAGTTGAGTCTGACGATGACGCGTGGTTGGCTCATGTTCCATCTCCCGAGATCATTGTAATCAGCTCCGATGAATCCGAACAAGATGGTTCGAGTGTGGACAATCAATGAGGTGGCGAATATGGGTATGTGGAGCGTATGGAATAATGTATAGTTTGTATTTTGTCAGGGATAGATCTCGTAACATAGTTCGGCAATGGTGAGCAAGAGCACCTCCATTGTCTACGTACTGTTTTCTTCATATTTTGGTAGATTTTGGTATTGGACCTACTATGGACGAGGACAGAAACAATCTGTCGGGAACGGCATGTATACTGTCGGGAACGACAGATTAACTGTCGGGATGTAAGAGCATAGGTTCATTTGTGTAAGTATGAAACTTGTGTTTCCCTGTATGGATCCCTTGTTTACTGAAAATTGACGTACCCTGGAATGAACAAGTTCACTATTTTGACAACGTAGGTTCGTCGGGATTTTGTGGTTCGGACTTAATACATGAACTTGAAAGCATCGAAAAATAAGTTATTTTTAAAATTCCTTGTAGGTAGAGTTAGGTGTATATACGTACGTGGTGTCTTATGAATAAGTCCGTATGGAAAAACTACTAATCAGGTCAGCCCTAAATCGTCCTTGAAACATACCATTTTTGTTTGTAGTAAATTAGAAGACGATGTCTGCTGTTAAGAAACGATAATGGAATGTAAAAGAAATGTTATGATTCAAAATATCTGTGTAAGTAGAGACTTGAATGGGTAACAGTGTAGTCGTGCAAGCATAAATATTTCGGACCAGTCAGATTATATACTCTGTAACCATCTGTTGGGAATGATAGTTTAACTGTCGAGATGTTCTGAAGGGATATCAATTACAATATCTTCTAACTAGTTGCGATCATGAGAAACACTAATGTCAGCAAACAAACGACAATGATAAAAAAATGAGAACATTTACATTCTTTCATTACAAACGACATGGGGGTGCCAGTTCACATACAACTTCAACCACTTTCGAACAAAAACCTATTTATTACAAACGCCTATTTAAACGGTCGGTGGTATAATGGGGTTGGAACATGTGTTCCGATTATGACATAGTCCACCACAGCGAATGCATTTCCTCAGTCGTGTGGCGGACTCGAATCTGGAGCGGTGACGTCTTGTGGGTGATCTACTCGGACGACGACGTACATTAGGTGGTCTAACAGGAATACCTGTAATTTCGTTTGGCACTATCCAGTCCACTTTACGCATAACGGGATATATAGCTTCGCTATAGGCACCTCTCCAGTATTCCGATGTGTAATACGGTGAGCATAAGTCGTACAATGACATACCTCGCAAGCAGGCAGCTTGAGTGGCATGAACGCATGGCATACGATTAATTTGAAACTCACGACAAGTGCAGCTGTTATGAGAGAAGTCGACGATGTCCGTGTTGTTGGACATTCCAACCTGTGTTAACTGTTCTGTCAAGCCATGAGCTCGAAGTCTTGTACCTGCTTCAAACGTTGTCCGCAACTCGTTGTCCATCCTGAACGACAGCTCGCCAATACATGTGGTTGCACAGGTTCGACGTTCTTGAAACCACTTCTGCATAGTTTGTCGAATGTGTTCGACCAAGCACGTGATCGGTAATGAACGGGCATATCTCAACATTGAGTTCAAAGATTCGGCATTGTTATTTGTCAAAATGTTGTACCTTTGACCAACAAACAGTGCTCGTGACCAAAACGAGAAACCTGCTCGCTCTAAGTACCCGTACGCTCTTGCACTTACCCTACGGATCTATCCCATAAGTCTTTCAAACTCTTCGACCCGAGAAGTTCGTGCAGCTCGTTTGAATAGAAAAATTACACTTGCGTTGTTGTACCGCTGGACTAAGTTCTTTTCTAGATGCCAGATACAGTACCCATGACGGGACTGAGGAAATAGGTGAGCAATAGCATTGGAAATGCTATTCTTCCGGTCGAAAACAAAAACCAATTCAGCAGAGTTGCCTATAAGCTCTTTCAAGTTGGACATAAACCACATCCACGATCTATTTGTTTCAGCATCAACGATCCCCCATGCCAAGGGATATATCTGTTTGTTGGCATCTTGGCCGGTTGCCAGCAAAAAGTGTACCTTTGTATGGACCTTTCAAGTGACTACCGTCAACACAAATAACGGGCCTCAAGTAGAGCATGTAGCCATGAACGCTTGCACCGAAAGCTAGGAAGAAGTAATGAAACCTGTTATGGGAATCAACTTCGATGTGGGTTACTGTCCCTGGATTACGCTCTCCTAGAACGTGACAATAGGAAGGTAATTTTTGAAAACTATCCCCCGATGTACCATGTAGCATATGTAAAGTGGCAACTTTCGCCCTATGTGCTTTTTGGTAAGTTATTTTGACACCAAACTCGCGTTCTATGTCACATGCAATAGCGGTAGGATCGTACAACCGGTATAGATTATCCAATTTTCTCAAAATGTGGTCGGCAATTACAGAAGTAGTGGTATGTCGATGTGGGTTACGACGGATATCTACCGAACATGTGTGCACGTGGTTAAATTTTCGAATCATGAATATAGACGTCTGTTTCACACTCGAAGCACGTAACATCCACTTACAATTACGGTCCACGCATGCAACAGTTAACATTTTGCGGCTTGACCTGCTTACATGAAATTCAAACTTGTCTTGCAAAGCAAGTACACGAATTTTCGAGTACAGCTCTTTCTTGCTCAAGAATATTTGCCGTTCAACAATATCGGATGTATCCACAGCTGTAATCCATTGGTCTGTACCCGAACGAATAAGTTGTGATGACATTTGGGCGTCAACGTCTGCAATACTAGCAGCATCTGTACCATTGAATGGGTCGTCCAACATATCGTCTACAGGTGCAGCCCCATCATCAAAATTCCCTGTTTCGACTGCATTATTCACTGGGGAACTAGGCTCATGATTCATGTCATCATGTTCTAAGTTCTGATGAACATCCGTTGCGGCAAACAAATGGTTACGCAAATTCGTATCCCTCCCCATGTTAACAGTTCGCATATTTGTCTCCACAATATTAACGCACAGATCAGTTTCCGTATGAACAGATATGTACCACATGAGGTCTTCATCTTCACGTATTTCAGCTGGCGGTATATTCAGGTTCAGGACTTTAAACTTCAATTCCATTTCGGTGTGCGGATCGATAATGCCAAGTTTTTCATTCAACCGTAACAGAAGTTCGACTAGGGTAACATTTCTCGGCACTAAAATGGATGTGATTTTATCCCCTGTCCACTTTCATTCGTCATCTGCGTGAATAAACCTTCCCCCGTGCGACACGATGAATCTCAAATGGGTGTTCATATCTAAAATAAAGGGATTACAACGATAAGAATTATGAGCAGTCAATATGTCGATATTTAATAGCATCGAAGGGGCACTTTCGAATATTTAAACCGATGTAATAGGAGAATGTGAAATGCAGGATGTTAACAGTTTTCAACTGTCGATTTTGACAGTTTAAAACTCTATCCCAATAGTTTATCTGTCGATCTCGACAAATCGACATGTATAACCGTTGAGATCGACAGAGAAACTGTCGAGACCGACGACAAGTTTAATGCCTGTTTGTTTGTTATTTTCTCCGAAATATTACTGGTTACAATCAATTCTCAACTACAACAATTATTCCATTGCTCTACAGATCTCCATAAACAAATGACTGCTTCATTAAATATGGAATAGTTGACATGTCCCTAAATATTGTTGGTATATTTTCCATTTAAAATGATTTGAAAAAGAAAAAACAATAAAAGAAAAAACAATATCATCATCATTAATAGTGGTTTTAAATGCTTTCTTCACTTTGATGATCATGTTGCTTTTAATATGTGAAAAATAATAAGCTATTACATAAAAATATAAATAATTTGTAATAATTAACCTCTCCAAATGGATGATGAATTGAATAGCAATATATTGTTGATGAAGAAATAAAGAAGATGAAAGAAAATGGAGGGTTTTTTCAAGAAGGGATGTATTTGATGTGAACTAGGATTGTTTTGCTTCTTTTATCTTATTTTTGCTTCTTTTAAATTTTTTTTTACGTCTTTTCTCTTTCTTTTTTTTTTTTAGTCAATTCATATTATACAATATAATATACATTTATCAAATCATTATAATATACATATTAAATAATGAAATCATTACAATTGATTGGATTGGAGGCTACCATTAATGAGCATTTAATGCTCCTAAAAAGGGAAGATTAAGGGTAATTTGGACATTTTCCACCAAAAAAGTGACATTTTTGATAAAATTTAGTGCACATCAAAAGTTTTATAGCAATTTTCAAAAAAGTGTCATTTTTTATAATTCCCCTAAAAACAATGCTTTGCTCATGTATCTTAACAGAGACGCACATTACAAGTTCCATTCTCGACACTGTATACTATAGAATCTACCTTAAAAAAGCAAACAAAAATAAGTAACATATGAATCACTTTGTAGTTGACTTGCAAATCTGGGCTTATAGAAATTTGTAGTTGACTTGCAAATCTGGATTCCACCATTGATGAATTCCATGTGCATCCAACATTTCACATTTTCTCATATTAATAGGCGGACTTATATTGATAGTCAAATGTGCAGAAGGAAGAAGATGAATTGGTTCTGAATCCTTCCCTATTGCATGGTACATTATACTCCGAATTGAATGTTGTGTTGATATATTTCCAATTTTTCCAAATCCCATTCTCTTCATTTTCTTTCTGTGTTCGAAATATCCAACGTAGTTGGAACATATGGGATCGGACTTATTGACGAACAAATGGGGTGCCCATGTAGATAACACGTTAAACGGATCATTTTCACGAGGCGTTGGCCGGTGACCTCCATTGGCAACAAAAACTAGTCCTGCAGTGAGGAAACTTTTTCCTATTCTTAGACCGTCTTTCAAATTCTCGCTTTTTATCCGTTCAATTGGAAAAGAAAGGAATGGCGGATTAAAGAGATAGGTCTCGAGACTATATTTCGCTTCCATCTGCCAAAAGCACACTGCCACTAGTAAAGAAAACGCTTAACTTGTATGACTACTTACTCAAAAAAGCTACTTTTAAGTAAATTTTAATTAATCTCCTCGTACCATTTTCCTCCCAATTAGTAATGCTACTGATGAACCTGCCGAATGTCCTGCTAACCAGACATTTCCAGGGCCATTTGCTTCTCGAACAATGTTCATAGCAGTTTCCATGCCAGCACGAACACGCGGACTTTTCTTGAGTCCATTGAGAAAAACCTGAAGATTCTGCTTATAATCTCGAGGCACGTTTTCCGGTTTGTTGACCGTAACACGGAAGGCGATCACGTATTTCGGGGGACCTTGGCCTGTGTAGTTAGGACAGGACTTGAAAATAGCTCCAAAAATTGATTTGTCCTGCTCATCTTCTAGAACTTGGTTTAGTTCAAAATTGAAAGATTTCCACCATTCAGGAGCAAGAGCTTGATGGTCTTGTCGCTCTCGCTTGCGATCACTTTCTAGTGTGTATACAACCTTAACCAAGCTGGCCATGATGGACTTGCGATGATGCCAGTTGTTCCTGTCAAAGGCAAAAATTCCTTAATGGAACAGTGATTTTTCTCCCTTTTCGCAAGAGAAATCTCATAGTAAGACCCTCCATAGGGCAACCTTCTTTTTCTCTATTAGATTAGCCAATTTACTAGGAGTGGGCGCGGTCCGATTCTAAAAGGAACCGAACCAAACCGAACCGAATACCAATGAAAATTTTAGAAATGGAAACATTGGTTCCATTGTTAGCTATGGAATCGAATCATTCGGTTCCGATTCGATTCGGTCCGGTCCGGTTCTTTACATAAAGATGTCAAAATAAAATATTTACTAATAAAAAATCTAAAGAAACTACCAACGTGATACTTTTAAAAAAATATAGAAGAACCGAACATATTATACAAAGATTAAAAGAAAACTAAATATACTAATTTTAAAACAATATGCAAATAATATAAGTTACTATTATCAAACAAATATTAACTTATATAAACCGTCTAGTACTTCAATGATTAAACAAACTTTCATCAAAATGAAAACAAAATAAAAGTGTTCGGAGAGTAAGTCATATATTTTACCGAAAAAAATGCCAACCGAAGGGTCCCTTTTTAACATTTTCCTGAGCCTTCAGGTAATCACAATTCAGTATTTTTCTCAATTATTTAATTAAAAGTGACAAATGAACTATATACATAAACATTCGTTTCATTTCCATATGTCACTGCCTTTTGCTTATGTTGTTATACTATAATTTTTTTTTTTTTAATTTTGTTTTACTTTGATGGAAGTTTCTTTTCACTTTAAGAGTAAGTCATATATATTACCAATTTGGTTTCGGGACAAATTGGAGAGTAAGTCTTATATTTTACTAAAAAAGAAAAAAATGTTCACTAAAAAAAATTCTATGAAAACCGTTCGGTTCTCCGCGGTTCCCGTATTAGAACCAAGAACCGGACCGGAACCGATTGGTTCTTAATAATTTGTCCCGAAACCAAATTATTTTTTAGAAGAACCGGAACCGAACCGGCCGGTTTTAAACGGTTCCGGCCCGGTTCCACCGGTTCCGGGAAAAAATGCCCACTCCTACAATTTACTTTGCTTTTCATGAACGATTTGAGTTCAAGATATGTGACCAGCAAACATATTAAGCAACAAATTAAAAACAGCCATACCAGTCAATACGAGTAAGATATTTAGGTCCATTATGGTCGAAATTTTCCATCACGGAGGCCATCGATCAATCAATGAATTTTCCACCGATGTACGCTGCTCTTGAAATGTCTGTAACAAATGAAAAATTAAGCAGAAATTATAAAGTTCATACATCACCTTGAAGCATCGGAACAATAACCGATAATTATGACATTCTAGTACAAATCAAACTCTTTGAACGAAAATTTTGTGAGTAGGCTCAATTTCATCTTGATTATGTATAGAGAACATAAAATATCTTAGCACATTACCCACCAAAACAAACGCTGAAATAATTTCGTGGCCGTATTGGTACTTAAATTTATTCATATGAATATCGAAGTATACATGACATTCAATAGATCGTGCAAGGAATAAAGAAAATATCATGTTTCGCTTAGCTTCAAAACTTTTTAAGTTCTTTTATTTTTTTTTCCCCCAAGATCATGTTGAAAAAACATCTTTTAAGTTCGACCAAACATGTTAAATAAAGAAAAGAGTTTTACTACATATACCTAGGCATTTACACTCCCGGTTACACGCCCCTTACATGAGGGTGTGCGGGACCTGACCTGCCCCCCATGTGAGGGACATGTAAACGCTCAGGTACAAATAACATTTTCCTAAGGGTAAAGATAAGGAAAAATACCTTAAATCTCTCTTCACGTTAGGCTAGCTAGTTGAAGCTATACAACTAGACTCTTTATCAACAATAATGAATATATAGAGACAGGGGTTAACTTCGTAGGAAAGCAATAACAAGTCCTCACAATAATTTTTAATTTGATTGGTGTTCATTAGCCAATGGATATTTTTATTATAATAAAAATATTTTGTCTTACTTACTAAATAAGTACATGTAAATGTGAAATTTTATAGCTGACAATGGTCAAATTGATATGTAACCGTGGACGATCAACCATTAGGTAGTGTAAAATCAAGATTTTAACCAAGTAAAAGTTAACAATTAGTTTAACCTCATATTTTATGAAACTCACAATTTTTTAATCACACATTTCATCAACTTTTATCAAAATATCCTAAAAAGCTAATTTTAATCCTTACCAAACAATAGGAACCTGCTTGGCTATTCATCAAGTCTAAAGTCATAATTTTTTTCCCAAAAGAAAAATAAAAATACTATCTATGCTTATTCTTAAATTTTATAGCTGTTTATCAAAATCTACTATAAATATAATTTTTAGTTAAATAAGCTAATTGTTTTTGAATTGAGCCGTATATGTATATAAATTGAAAATTAATTAATTAGTGACACAAATTAGGTTAGAACACAAAAATTAAGGGGGTGTTCTCTTTGTATTTCAGTTTTGTGTTTTGAGTTTTGAATTCATTTTGAATTTTGTGTTTTGAGTGTTTGTTTTGAAATTGTTGAAAATGCGTTCTTTTTTTTAGTTTCTCAAAACAAAAATTTTTTTTTTTATTTAATTTTGAGAATCACCACAACACCACCTCAAAAAAAAAAAAAATTAATTTTTATTATTATTTTTTTTGAAATTTTGAGAATTACCACACTATCTCTTCAAAAAAAAAAAAATTAATTTTTAATTTTTTTTGAAATTTTGAGAATCACCACACCACCTCCTCAAAAAAAAAAAAAAAAAAAAGTGTTTCCCGCGTTTTCAATTTTTTCAAGTTTTACACTGAAAACGCCCAAAACGACAAAAAAGTCGTTTTGTGTTTTCTTCACAAATTTTTTTTCGTTTTCGAAAATTTGTTTTCGAAAACGGGAAAGAGAACACGTTTTCACCGTTTTGAAAAATCGAAAACAGAAAACGACCCGAAAACTGTAAAGAGAACAGGGCCTTAAGTGGCCCAAATTTACACGCCACTAGTTTGAAAGTTTCTTCCCAGTTCCAAGTCCTTGTTTCTATTCAAAAACGATGGCCAATCGCCACCATCTTCTTCTCCGTTTTTGGGATGAAAGAGAGACAATTTTTTAAATTTATTGATGTACTTTCTACTTAACTATATTCTCAATTGTCAATAAATTTCAAGTTTATTATTAATTTTTTTTTTATTCTAGTAGAACATCTCCAAAAGACTTTTTATTTTTAAAAGCATTTATAAATTTAGAGAGTAAATTTTTTTAAGTATTTCAATACACTTTTTATATTTAACACTTAATTTTACTATTTTCAAAAAATATTTATTTTTTTCTATCTTTTATTTTCACTAATTTCCCTCCAAAGTATTATATTATTTTCCTTCATTGAAAATTGGAGTACTTTCAATGGATTTATTTATAGAAAGTAGGTTTGACTTTCCAAATTTGAAAAATCAAAATCACTTTTCTAAATCTAAATATTAATTTAAAAAATCTTTTGGAGCATAATTTTAAGAATTAACTCTTTAAAATAGAGAGTATCTTATGTTCAAAAAATCTCTTGAAAATGCTCTTAGTTACTAAGAACATGTTTGGCAAAACTCAAATTAAATTAGTTAAACATACTTTTAATTCATATATTTTATAGAATCCATAATTTACTAAAAACTTATTATTCATATTTTTAAGACAACTTATACACACTAACATAAAGCCCTTGTTTGGGCTCAATTAAACCAAACCAAATTTTGTTATATATACACTAAGGTGTACATTTTGGATGACATAATTTACAAAGGGCTTTCGGTCATTGGCTAGTGAAAAAAATAATTTCTACCAACTAATGATAGAATCCACTTGTACATTATGTCATCTAGAGAACTGGGGGGAGGGGGCGTGGGTCACTTGACCCCCAACTTTTGGGGAAATTTGGTATTATTTATTTATAACAAAATCAAAACATATTTTAGTGTGTGTGTGTGTGTCTCTCTCTCTCTTTTTGTTTTTTTTTTTCTTCTACTATCTCTGTCATCCGTTTTATCAAAATGCTAACCCTTATAGTTGATAAAAAATTGTCTATAATTCTCTCCACAATTACAACATCTACTATAAATATTCACTTTCCAGTCAAATTTTTAGCTAACTAGAACCTAAATTTATATTTTTTGCTACAAATTTATTGTAACACTTCTGCAAAGTGATTGTTATCATGCCATCGTAAGCTTTGTCTGTCATGACAATTTCAATCCTACCTCCACTCGTTGAACTTGCAGACACAGGCAACTTAAGTTATTTTGCCATTGAAAATTGAAGGGTAATGATAAGTCGACAGAAGTAACTTGTAATTCTAAATTTTTATTTTCTCTGACTAAAATTCAAAATGATAAAGAAAATGTTTTGTATTACATTTATAGTTTGTTTTCATTCTGTCCAAATTATGTTTAAAAATGATTTTTTAGTTTTGTATATTGGATTGTGTGAAATTGATCTGAAATGAGTTTTGAATGATTAATGTTATATGGAATGGGATGATTTTTGTATCTTGTTATATAAAAAGGGTTTGGAATGATTTTTGTCCAATTTTATGTATATTTATTGAATTGATCATTAGTATTGGATATTGGACGTATTTTTCATTCCGATTGGCTTCAAAGCTTTCAATTTTTTATTTTTTTTATTTTCCCGATATCATCTAAAAAAAAACACCTTATAAGTTCGACCAAACATGTTAAATAAGGAAAATTACGTTAATCTCTCTTCGCCGTAGGCTAGCTAGGGCTAGACAAAATTCCCGAACCGAACCCAAACCGAACAGAACCGAACCTGACGGTTCTTCTCATGTTAAATACCCGAACGAGTATTTGAATCAGGAACTGATGGGTATGGTTCGGTTCTCGATTCTAGGCCAAGACCTGAAAAATCGAATAAGAACCGAATTTTTGTAATTTTTGTAATTAATTTATTTTAAATAAGTAAAATTATTTTATTTTTTCTAAATAAATTTGTTAACTAGTTAATTTAGTTCAAACCACAAAATATGATTTTCCTATTTCTAATATTCAGTTCAAAATCGACTTAATCAAATTGACCTCAATTTTATCCAAATCTGTTATTATATTGTAGTTTCGTTTCTACTAGAGAAAATCGAATTAAAACTCTACAACATCTCTCTTAATTATTTTGAGTTCGCTATCTTTCTCTTTCTGTGATTTTAATCATCAAATTTATGAAAAATTCAGCAAAGAGAGACGTGAAACACATAAGATTGAACTACGTTATTCTGTAAAAGCTAATATTAAATATATCATTAATTAAATTAACGTAACTTTGTATATATTAAAAAATTTAATTATAATACGGAACCGAATGGAATCGAACCGGACCGAACCGAATCGAACCGAACGGAACCGAACCCGAACGGTTCCGTAATTAAATTTGAATCCGACGGTTCCACTTACTAAATACCCGAAAATTTCGGATCGAGAACGGAACCCAACCGGACAATGTCCAACCCTAAGGCTAGCTAGTTGATGCTATACAACTAGACTCTATCAAGAATAATGAATGTATAGAGAGAGGGGGGGGGGTGGTTAACTTCGTAATAACAAGTCATCACAATAATTTTATTTTTTTTATTGGCGTTCATTAGCCAATTGATATTTTTATTATAAATATTTTGTATTAATTAGGAAATTAGTATTTGTAAATGTGAAATTTTATAGCTGACAATGGTCAAATTGATATGGAACTGTGGACAATCAACTATTTGGTAGAAATTAAAATTACGATTTTAATCCAAATAAAAATCGATAATTAGTTTTAACCTCATATTTTGTGAAATTCACAAATTTTCAATCATATATTTTATCAGTTTTATCAAAATTTACTAAAAAAAAACTCATTTTAATCTTTACCAAACAATAGGAAACTGAATGGCTATTCATGAAGTCTAAAGTCAAAACTTCCTCTATTTTTTTTCCCCAAAAAAAATCACTATCAATGCTTATTTGCAACGAAAATTTAAATTCATTTTGACATTTATAAGTTTTTGTTTGACCTTTATTTTTTAAA